TGTCATTGATATTACATTCTTATATGTATAGAAGCCATTAGGAGCGATAAAGCATGCTTCTGATGCAGCTGAAATCAACCGCACACTCACACAGCTAATGAAACATCAACCTTAGAAATAAACAACCGTAACATTGAGATTATGCCGCTGAATACCGTAAACCCCAGTTGAAATGCATACACGAGAATGCTTGTTTTATTTAAACTTGTTCTCATGGCCTGAACTATCGGCGTGTCCTCAGAGCGATTACATGCTCTAGACTACGTGTTGCTCCAGCTGTATGAACACAGATGCGTAAATGCTGCTGCAAATATGCTTTTTTCAATTAGCAGACCAGGTAATATACACAGCGATATGGATTAAAACAGCATTCACTTATCTTAGATGTGGATTCCAGATGTTCTGAAACACGCTGCAACAATTTGATTTGCGAGCAGCGATGCTTAATTTGCTCCGAAGCAAGCTGAAAAGCTGCTGAATAATACTGAATACAGCTTATATAGAAATGCCGCGATAGGTGTCGTTTTCCTATAGGTAGATGTGATCAGCTGAGAATCAGCTGATGCAAGCTTGACTCACGTGACCTGCCAGAACTAACGCTAAAGCTTAATTCATGCAGAATATGTGCTTTATAAGTACTAATAAACAGCCAATATGTTAATAATAAGCATGCAACTAGTTAATAGTGAGAATTCTTGTTACCCATCTGGTACAATGCTGAAAACTTGTATCCACAAAAATGTTTGGACATATGTGAAATGTGAAAATAAAATGATGCATGGTGTGTTCCCAAATGTATTATAAGCAGCCTGCAGAGATGGAGTTCGTATGAAGCAGCATTTACTGTGAACCAAAAAGCTGAAAACATGTGCTGCTTGTGTGTAAATGAACACAGTGCCGTGCTTCAATCATGCAGTGCATCAGACTTTTGAGATTTCAGTTTTAGTTTAATTATGCAACCCTATTTATTTATTTATTTAAATTTTTACATTTTATGGATTAATTAGTTTTTAGCTTTTCATCAACTCACAAACCCCCTGCAGTTCCACTTGGGAAACCCTGCTCTGCAGTTACTTAATGCTCCATATCTCCATAACAAACCCTTAATGCCATGCATATCTTGTTTTTGCGAGCTAGCTGTGAACATATTAGCTCAATTAATATACAAATTAGCAGTCAAGCTGTTATTAATCCTCATATTTTATGCTGTTTTATCTCTTTTGCTGGATCCCCAATGAATCAGCCCTCTGTGTTTCTCTCCTTCCATCTTGCCGCTGATGAACAATAGCGCACCGCTTATCTGCTTTGTGCTGAAGTCAAACCCAGTAGCTGTTTGACAAGCTGCCAGAAATGCCAATTATTGAATGACAGGTGTGTGCTAATGTAGTCAATTTGCCCATAAAGAAGAAGACCTGAACTCACATAGTTGTCTCTGAACTCGGATGACTTCAGAGCCTGCTAGATGAACTTCTCCACCCTTCATGCGTCATACATGTTAGATTTTCAGCAGATGTGGTAATTGCTTTCTTGGATACTGTTTATTCTGACATGAATGCTGCGAGATATGAGGCATCTATTGTGTATTGTATCTGAATTGTATGCTACAAAGCTGTGCAATCTTTTCTGAAGTACCTGAGGCCTGAAGTAAAGCACAACGCTTAAAAAAGGTCACAGTTAAGGAGAAACTGTTACGAGGTTTGACATAAAGACAGGAAACGCTGACGGCTTTGGCTCGACATCAAGATGGTGGACACTTTGAAAGGATTTAAATGACAGATAGCATTTCCCAACAGTTGAGAAACCACAGGTGCCATTCAGAATTAACTCTCTCTGGTGAAATGGCATTTTCAGCAATCAAAGAGGAAGGAATCGAATCTTGTGAAGATTATTCAGGAAGGCAGGAAGGTGAATTGAATATAGTTAGATTGGAGAAACAGCTGTGGTGGAGCTGTAGGAAAAGGCTGTGAACAAACGTGCATGTCTTTTGTAATCCCCTATTTCTGCACGTGTGACATTTCCTTTTTCTTTTTTCTCTCACCGAGCTTAAAGTGGCGGCTCAAAAACCTGCTTTTTACTTCCATAAAGGCTTGAGGAATATCCGGAAATGCAAAAAGGTGCATATCATAGGTGTTCAAAAGATAAACAGGCATAATCATTCTGTGGTCTTTATTTTTTGTTTTTCAGGGAGTACCTGGGGAAGCAGTTGCAGTCCACCGAGCAGTCGACTCCAGCTGTGGCTGCCCGAAGCTGAACTGCTCCTGTGCGTGTGTGTGTGAGCCAGTGCGTCTGATCCTGTGTTCTTGGTGTGAATGTAAAGCTGTGCTATATAGAATGAACATGTTTAAAAAAAAGCCGAGTTGATGTACCGAACCCTAAATTTATGATTTACTACTACTTTGTTGTGCTTTATGTCGTTGTGTAAAGTTGTGCGTCCTTAGAATAAAATCACATTAAGTGATCGGAACAGTTCACAGTTATATTAAATGTTATTTATGTCTTCGATGTAAAACAATGAGTATGCATTCCAATAAAGAGTCTACCACAACAAATGTTTCTGTTGAAGAGGGGTTTTTTTTGTTTGTTTTATATACATTTTCTTACGTTTTATATAAATTTAATTTTCATTCAAAATTGAAATCTGTCTTTGTGGTTAAGTCTATCTTATCTGTCTGTAGATACATAGATCGAAACAATATGTGTGGTTATTCCTGATCATATGTTTGATTATCTCAAATTTGTTTTTCTCAGAATAGATGAAAAAATCATCTGAAGTTATTTGCACATCATCCCAGGAGTTTATAGAAACACAGATTGATTTTCTGTCATATTGTAGTCTTGCTCAAATATCAGATTCATATGATAATCCTTCAATATCAGAAGTCCTTGGACCATATCATTCCTTTCAGTTTAATAAGCAATACAACCACCTTCAGGTCATAATTTTATTTTACTGTGTTTCACAACGTTTGCTTGTGAAAGTACGGCGCCCGGGAAGTCACCTGTAGGAAAAAATAAATTAATCCGTGGTGACGGTTTTGCAATTCGTCCCCTCAGTTTATAAACCATACTCACGCATTCTTAAACTGCCCCCTCGGTTTAATAAATCGTGCCCACAGATTAATAAACCGTAGCCATGAATTTCCAATCTGTGTGTTCAGATTTTGTTAACCGTACCTTCGGTTTTTAAATCCGTACCCACAAATTCATAATCCGTGCACACGCTTTCGCAATCCGTTCCAACAGGTTTCTAAACTGTACTCACAAACTCATTTTAGAAGAACAAATCTTATTGTATATTGCTTTATTGTGCATTATTAAGTTACATCAAATTGTCTTAACTGCATGCTTACAGTGATTCTCTGTAGCGTGTACGAGGTGGGATACAACGATGTAATAATAATGATGTGCGTCAAAAATCTTGTTTATTTGTGATAATCTTAACACTTTATTATTATTGTCTAATTAACCTGGCATTGTAGTACGATTGATTTTTACTGCTTTGTTCCTCTTTTTAAAGTCATTTTGGATAAAAGCGTTTTCTAAATGCATATGTAAATGTAATAATAACAATGGTAGCCTTATAATAGTAGTAGTAGTAGTAGTAATAATAATAACAACAACAACAATAATAATAATTATTATTATTAATAATTTACAGCTATAAATGAGGGCACATAAGATACAATTTTTCATGAATGCTTTATTTTTAAATAACCGTTCAGTTTTGGAAATGTGTTTTTGCACTATTCACTATTCTTAACATGAAGACTTTTTTGGTGATTTTATTATACTAACCTTTTTCCCCAAAATTGGTCTTTAAAAGTAAATTATACAGAATACTTCCCAATGACTCTCTCTCTCTGTCTACCCTTATGCTTCCATCCAATACCTTGGTATTTCCTTCTAATGCAGCTAATTCTCTTCTGCAGTACTGTTTTATTGCAAATCTGGGGACATATCATTTTTTAGAAAATTCAAGAAATTCTCCATTTTGAAAAATAAAGTTTAAACACAATACAATGCATCCTGCACCTAAACAGGTGGCCTTGTTGAATCTGCTGGGACAGACTGGGGAGACAGACTATTGCTATTGCAAGCTTTTTTTTAGATCATATACTTTGCTCTAAGGGAATATGTTATTAACCTTTAGGACAGCTTTGCTCTTTTGAAATGATGAATGTGTCTTCATAAACAAGAAAGTGAAGTGTCTTGTAACAACACTATGAACCTCAGATTGTGAAATAATTTCATGTTAAAGGACTTATAATTTTTCATATTTCCCCATCTTCTTCCTGGTGACGTATGCCAGACTTCTTATGACTGCTTATATTGTATCTGCCTCCATTTTTGAGTGCAATGCCCACAATCAAGATCCAGTCAACAACCATTGCACAGAACCAAGTCTCCACCCTACATATTTTCTTTATGGATAACCGTTACACTCAATGTACAGATTTTTTTTTTTGACAGTTGAAACATTTCAAAATTTCTCCTTCTGTTTTGCAGGGTCTCCCACATTACATACAGTTCTAAAAATGTATCGTTCAAGTTAAATCTCTAGGTGTGTTTTTTTCCCATTCCACTGCCATGCTTCTTGCATTTTAAAGGCAAAAACATATTTGCATGAATGGCCCAGAACATCACAGAAATTTAAATTCCTCATGTTGTCAGCTTCTCAAATATTTCCAATCAGATTCATGTATTTTATTTCATGTCACAGCGGGCCTTTTTACACCTTTTATGATAAGGTGTCACACCTGTGTTATTCGTAGACACAAACCCATTTGCCAATTTGCTGCATTCCTTGTGCATCCCATTTTTTAAATAACCTCCCAGAACCTTTTCCATACACGACTGGGCAGAGCATCAGACGAGAGCAGATGCAGCCACTGGGTAATTTGTGTTCAGTTGCCCTCTCTCTCTCTCTGTCTAAATGGAAAACAAGCTGTAGCTGTAGCACTATCGGTTAGTAAATAGCCCAGTACTCTGTGTGCTTTGTGGATGTCCAGATAGAGATAACCTTCAAAGCCTATTACCACCACACTATCTGACAGATCCACAGCATATGTGGTTATCAACTCGTTCGGGATGTGTAAAGGGTCATTCGAATTCTAATAGGGTCATCTTAGGCCTCATGAAACAAGGTTGTTAGTGGCATTATCAGATGTCTGATTCAACCTTATTGGGAAACTTGTTTTTTTCTTTCACACCTCCGTCCTATTCAGATGCTGCTTTTGTGTCAAGAATGAATTGACTCACGTCTACGATCCCACATCTTAGCAGCGCTGTATGGCATGCCAGTGCTTGTGTGACACTTCCCACACTGAGTGGCTGCTTTAAGTAATGTGAGACGCAGACATCCGTTTGCCATAATCAATGATGAATTTGTGTAAGGGCTCTCGGAGGCATGTCGCTTTTAAGAAATCTTTGCCGATGGCTTTTGTGAAGTCTTTTTCACGCTGCATATAGCATTCTTAAAGGCTGTTTTTAGAAACGGCCTCTTTTAGTGACATTAAATTCACTGAGCTAGGACAAAACTTCCAACTGACCCTTCGCAGGGAGTTTGATTGATAGGCGATCTGACCAATTACAACACCGAATCTGCCAGTTTTGTCTGACAAATGAAACTAGACAGGTTTAGATTAGATTAATTTTGGTGGCATTAAACTTGAAAAATGGTGTGTATTGACATCTTTCCGCAGTTGAAGCAAGATACCTTCTGATGTTCATTCATGTTTATTTCATGAAGGAAATTTCAACTAGTAAGGAAGAGATGATCAGTTCACGTGCCGCTTGAACTGAAGTGCTACAGCGATCTGTCACGACACATTAAAGAGCAACAAAATTATATTTATTGTTTGAATTTCTTTAAAGAAAATTTGAAAGCTGAGATTTTGTTTCATACCTAACATAGCCTGCTCTGTCTTGTCTGTCGACGCGTTGTCAGTTTTCTCTTTGCTCTGCGATGTATTTTTTACTGCATGAGAAAGAGAGAGCGCCATTGCTTGTCAGACATAGCTGCAGTAACGAAGGTGGGCAGGTCTTTGCGAAGGGGCTCAGATTTGGTTTACTTATGTTTCAACTAGGGCTGTCAGTTTAACGCGTGATTAGTTATGATGATTTTTTATATAAAAATGTAGTTATAAAAAAATAAAGTGATTAAAATATTTTAACACAGTTAACGCACTGGCCCCGCCCCCATACCTGTAAGTCATCTTACATTTCATACAGCTGACTATTGACAAATATGCAGGGCAACAACTCCATAAATGCAGTTATGCCCTAAAATTCAAGATATTAGGGCAAAAAAATGCCCCGTATGAGTTTTTGTCTCATTTATATCACATGATAAGCGATATCACACGAGTGCTGTTTATGTCCGAATACCACGAGTGAAAATTTGATTTTACACAGCATTTCAGTGAATAAGATATTTTAAACACAATATTGTGTTGTTTACTCAATTTTGGCAATGAAAATATTACCCATAAAGCCACAGCAGAACTTTTGTGCATCAGTTAGCAACATAGCGGTGTTTAGTTTCTGAAAGAATCCGCGTTTTGAACGAATCGTGTAAACCAATGATTCAAAGGTCCATTAATAGAGAAAGACGTTTTCTTAATTCCTGAATGAATCATCCGTTTGAACGTTTCAAATGAGTGAATGACTCATAAAGACATTTACCGCCACCTGCTAGCAGTGTTAGTTTCTTCTTTAGAGTATCATTTCATTTATAAATAAATAAATAAATCCAAACATTACAGGGATCAGGGGCGGATTTAGTGATTTGGGGGCCCCAGGCAAAATATAGGAATCAGGCCCTATATATTTGCACACATTTACCTAGATCAGCCTTGAGGTTGCTTTTTTGTTGTGATGCTTACTGCTGCAAAATGGTGCCCCACAGTTGTGTCCAATGTTTCTACATTTTTCATGTACGTGTTATAATGGCTTTCTTTCATGCTGTACACCACGAAATAGCAATTGATTTACAGATTTCACAAAAACAAAAAAATGATAAACCTCACAATTGAGCCTTTAAACCCTTTTTTAAGAAAAGAGATGAGTCGGAAGTATAAATTATGATATTAATTTAAAACGGGGTTATGTGGGTGGATTTTCGCATTGGTCGGAACAAAAACTGGAGATGGGATTATTGAAAATGCACATTCATTCTCTGCTAGCAGGAAGCGCTTTTGAACCATCAGAAATACAGCGGTTTCCCGGTAACGGCTGTAAACAAAGCAGCGCTGCTCATAAATGCTACTTTATCAGATAAAATGAAAATGTCACCGAAACTTTTCTGAAGACATTCGGTACCCTTCAGAGATTCATTCATATAAAAACTTGAATTAGTGAGAATGAGAAAAATATAGCCTATACTGAGGAGGAAAGTCCACTGATGAGTTACCAGCGTAAGCCTGTGTGCCAAAGGCGGTCTAATTCTAAACTTTAAAATACATTTATTTTAGTTATTTGAACTACAAATTTAAATAAGAATTAAAAAATTATGAAATGGAAATTATACATTTACACACCT